CTGGGACCACAGGCGCCCGCCACAACGCCCAGCTATTTTTTGGTTGCAGCCATCATTGTTGTTTTGGAGGGTCCAGGCTGGGGATTTGAACCCGCCACCTTTGGTGTACGTGGCTGGCGCCTTAGCCGGTTGAGCTATAGGCGCAGAGCCAAAGAGTTTTTTTAATGTAATTAAAAGTCAGTGACTAAAGGACTGGATAACAAAACAAGCTGCCAATGCATGCTTTCTGACAAGAAACCCATTTTAAACATAAAGACACAAACTGGTTAAAACTATATGGATGGGAAAACATATCACATTAATGATAATTAGAGATAGAGAACTTATATTAATATCATACAGAGTAGATTTCATAAAAAGAAAATATTACCTGTGATAGAGATTGGCATTTCATAGATATAAATGGAGAACTGTATGAAGAGGACATAATAATCCTAAATGTACACCAAATATAAATGTATCAAAATTCCTAGCAAAAAATTAAAACCTGAGAGAATGGCAAGAACTAGTGACATCCATAAATATACTCTAGAGATTTCAGCACCTGCTTTTTAGTACACTGGCAGAACAAATAGACAGGAAATGAGTAATAATGCAGAAGATTTGAACAAAACAACCAAACACCTCGACCTAAAGGTGATATTTATTAAAAATTCTACTTCATTTAGTAAGGATGGAGTAAAAAAAAAATTAAGAAACTTAAAAATAAGTAATTCCACCAACAGCAGAATGTAAAAAAATTTCAAGTAGATAAGGAATATTTACCAAAACTATACAGTGGCCCATAAAATAAACCTCAAAAATGTATGCACACCACACAAAGTATGCTATCTGTCAACAATGAAATGAGAGTAGAAATCAAAAAAAGAAGTACACCTGGAAACAGTAAATAGCCTTGTAGTTAAAAAAATAAAAAGGATGAATTTATAATTATTTTTAACTGAAAATGAAAATAAGGCATTTGAAGATAAGACACTACAATAGTACTCAGAAGGAAATTTAAATTATTAAATGCCTGCATTGAAAACAAAGGGTATTGATCCAATAACCAAAGCCTCTACTTTAAGACAGTAGAATAAATGTAAATTAAAAGCCAATTAAAATACAGAAACTAAATAATAAAGGTTAGAGAAGAAAATGGCCACATAGAAATTTAAAAAAAAAAAAAAACCTCAATAAAACCAAAAGATGAGCTTTGAGAAGATAAAGAAAATTAATACTTTACCAAACTAATCAGGAAAATACAAGACACAGATTATCAACTTTCAGACTGAGACTACTGCCAAGGTTTGTACATATTTTAAAAGGATAATGAAATATTATGAAAATCTTAACACATATATACATATACAAAGATAAATATGTACATACATTTTTAACAATATGTGATCTATTCCTAGAATAAACACTAGGAGTAAGAAGAAAACTTCATAAAGTGCTGTAATGAATATAGTTATAGCTATAACTATATATAATTGTGAAAAACTTAATGCTTTCTTCCCATAGTCAAGCAAAAGGCAAAGATATCCACATTTCCTCCTTATCTTACAACACTGTATTACAGGTTCAGCTGATGCAGTAAGAAAAAGAAATAAAAAGCATCAAAATTAAAAGGAAAGATTTAACAATGTCTTTATATTCAAAAAAATAAATCTATGTAGAAAATCCTATGAACCATACAAAAAATGCTAAAACTAGTACATAATTTTAGATAATTACAGACCGTAAGATTGATATCAATTGTATTTCTAGCAACAAGCACTAGATAATAAAAAAAAAAAATGCAATAGAAGTTAAATTATGAAAACAGACATACTAAACCTGCACACTGAAAACTCATAACAATGCTAAGGGAAATTAAAGTGACTTAACAAATAGAGCAATGTACCATTTTCACAGGTACAAAGACTTAATATTATGAAAATGCTGATTCTCCCTAAATTGATTAAATTCAATCCCAACCAACACCCCGGTAAACTTTGTTACAGCAGCTGTCAGATAAATCATAAAATACGTGGAAATGCAAAGAACCTAACACAGCCAAACAACTCTAAAATATATTAACAATAGTGGAAGGCTCACACTACTTGATTCCAATAGTAATTACATACAGTGGAAGAATGGGTAGTAAAACAAAATAAAGATTCAAGTAAACATAAATTGTCAATAGGTTTTTGACAAAGGTACAAAATAAATTCAGTGGCGAAAGAATATTCTTCACAGAGATAAGACTGGAAAACATGAGTAATGATACACAAACAAAAAAGCAGTAGTTCAATCCATCTCTATCTTATACAAAATCAACTTGAAGTGGATCATTTGTAACCCTAAAACCAGGGGTCCTCAAACTTTTTAAACATAAGGTCCATGGGCCGTAGTTTGAGGACACCTGCCTAAAACTATAGATTCAAACTATAAAACTTTAAAAATAAAACATGGATGAAAATATTTTGACACTGAGTTAGGCAATGGCTACTTAGATATGACAGCAAAATTACAACCCACGTAAAAAAAAAAAAAAACTTGATAAATTGGATTTCGTATGAACATAAAACTTCTCTTCGAAATACATTGGGACAATGAGAAGATAAGGCATAAACTATCATAAAATGTTTACAAATTACATACTCTTGAAGGATTTATTTCTAGGGTATGTAAAGATTTCTGAAACTCAACTGTAAGAAAGCAAACAAATGAGCGAAAAGATTTGAAAACACATTTTACATATACTTATTTAGTTTAGGTCATAAGGTCGAATATGGATGAATATTTGCAAAGGAATTTAAAAAAACAGAAAAATAGGCAGGCAGACAGCTATGAAGTGAAAAGCATATAAATACACTAAATCCAAAAGTAGTTATCTAAAATAACTGCAGCTATGTCTTTAACAAATAGAGCCAGCTATCATTAAGACAGATAAGATGTCAAAAGAATCATGACCCTGAACAGTGACTATATGGTACCTAAAATGACCTGTGGGGCCCCAAATTTCTATAGACAGGAAACGGGATGAGAAAGGGCTTAATCTCCAATATCTATATTTAATGTAGTTAACAAGGGTACTGAAAAATGACCAACCTAAAAGACCACAAGGAACAATGGACTAAGGAACTTGTCCCAAAACCGTAAAAGAGAATCATGGTAAAAAATCAAAGATTAATCCTTACTCCCAGGGCAGAGACTTTATTTAATCTCCTGTTGGGAGTATTTATAGTAAATGCCCTACCTTTGTCTCACCACTATAGACTAGATGTGTTGGGGGTAAACAACTTATGTTTTAGTGTCTAATTTCTTCAGGTAGAAAGGGACCACATCTGGACTTGATAAAGTAAAAAGCTGTAGCACATTATTCTCCTCCTATCACCTAGGAAGCATGGATATCTGAGCTTAAGGTCATGGCTAGGTGGAATTTCAGATTTTACTCTCCTGGTAATAAGATACGTAAATTTCAAATATTTGGAGACAAAAAGAGCAGACTGTGGTAATACTACTGATGTTTACCGAATATTACTCACTCACTCTCCCTTCCAGGTTTATAGAAGGGTCTCTCTATCCAGTCCCATTATAACTGAGTGGGGACACACAGATATAAATTAGAATTGGATGTGTCATTTCACTCTACAATGGTATCAGGCAATGTTCCACACTGGAATTACACTACCAGTGTGGTGCCTTGGGTGAGGACAACATGAGACAGCCTAAAGACAACCTTCAATGTGTATGGAGCATAAGTAAAATACACAATAACATCTGCTATCTGAAGAGAGCAACTCTATACGTGTTAACAAATGCCTTATGCTATTTTATAGTTCTATAACCTTATTTCTTCTGGTTAAATGGATTTTTTAAAATCCATTCATATAGTTATATGCTTCATACCTCTGAAAGCCCAGTATTTCACTATCCAAATAGCACAACTGTTACATCAAATTTATAAAATTCCTTATGTTTTACTCTTTGAAGCCATTAATTAACATGACATTGAAAAATATTTCATAGAATGGAACCTAATCTTGAGTATTGGGTGACATATTCATACAACTCCATTTAAGTTCTAATCTTATTTCCCAAGTCCTAGTAAATTTTCTTTCCATAATATAAAGTGGATCTTTCAAATAAAGTTGATTTAATTTTATCTGCCAAGCTTTATATTTTAAAAAATTGTTGCTAGGATCTTCTTACATACCATTGTTTATCCTCAAACTATGGCCTGCAGGCCACATGTGGCCTGCTGAGGACATTTATCCGGCCCCCCGGGTGTTTTTGCCCCCACTGCCTGTCCTGCTTAGCAGCTGACTGGTCCCAGGGCCCTCAATTGAGCCTGCCAACAGTCTGAGGAACAGTGAATTGCCCCCTGTTTAAAAAGTTTGAGGACCCTTGGTTTATACTATGACTCTTTTAAAAATTCTCCTCAACTGATTTTTTAATGTAAAGCATCCTGGCATTTAAGCCTTCTAAGATACTAAATCAAGAAAAAAATATATATCAAAATTCAAATAGAAACCACTGCTTATATGGAACAAGAAGTAACTCAAACATATATAAATGCTTTAAAAATTCAAATGTTATTTATAAATCAAGTCACAAAAAATCATTCATGTCCCATAATGCATTCATAGTCACTTATGTCTTTGCTTCTGTTAGTAAATAGTATTATAACCTAGAAATTAACATGACAGTGATTATTAACTTGGAAGATATCCATATACTTCAGATTTTTAGTCCTATTTTTGTCTATCATAAAATTCTCAAACTTTGAGTTTACATAAGCATATTTTTTTCTCCAAAATACACCAAGGAAAGTAAATGGAACAAAACTGAATAAACAGTTCTAAAGCTCTCAGGGGAGGAGAGTTGGGGACAAGTATAAATATATGATGGATATGCAATTTTATTACCTGAGCATTTAGCAGCTCCTCACATTTGTGTGCTTGTTTCTCAATTGCAGAAATGTACTGTTTTTCAATAGCTTCGACTTGTTGCTTAACTGAAGATTGTAGTAGTGCCTAAAAACAAGCAAAAAAGTCACTTGGATCACAGACAAAACTTGGAAATTTTTTTGACAGTTGTACATATCTGAAACATTATACTCTTCTGCATTACAAAATATGTATTTGTGAATACTGAAGCACATTTATATGTTACACTACTTCAAACTTTTGCTTTTAGGTTTTTTTCTATTGCCAAGATTACAGTTTTTTGGCTCAGATGGTCCTTCCACACACCTTCTTCTTAAAAAAAGGCCAAGTCATAGAAGATGATAAAGGGAGTGAGTAGTTCTGTTAAGTATAAATTCAGTTTTCAACGAAGACCACACAGGATGAGTAGCGTATAAAAGCTGCTGAAAAAAAGGAAAAAAAAAAAGAAGAAAAAAGGAAAAAAAAAAGCCAGACATATTTCACTGGCTGACAAAACTCCACATCCTCTCGGCACACTATAATATCCAATGGGCCAAGCATGATCTTCAAGACCACAAGTCCACAAGTCAAGTAAAAGCAGATGGAAACTCTGAGCAACTTCAAACATGAAAGACGTGCCCCCCAGGAAGTCCACACCCCTAATGGGAAAAGGTATAAGTCTAAGTGTGTAAGTCAGAATCTCAAGGCAGTATTCATAAAAAGTAATAAAATCTGGGAGACTGGATAAACTTAACTGGGTAATGTACATGCTGGAACTTAAGTCAGTTAAATATAAAGACATTACCACTGTTTTAAGGAAAGCCAAATCAACATTTGAAGACGTTCCACCCACTCACTTCCTTATTGAAGATGTTTAAAATATTATCTTTTTTCTTTTTTTTAGCTTTATATGTTACACTACCATTTATCTTAATGCTATTTATTAAGTCCTAAATCATTCTAAAAGATGTACTAAACTATATATAATAAGAACTCAAGCAAATATTCTATTTTTAAAAGTCTATCTGGATAATAAACTACTCATAATCAAAATAGTGAGTTGAAACAGACACATGTCTTATAGAAAACAGATCATTGGCACATTCACCAAGAAAAGAAAAAATCTCAGCCAAATCTCTTAATCTCTGTTTTGAAAATAGATTTACTTGGTTGGAAATGATATGCATTGTGATTCTAAATAAATAAGCATGTATTTTTAAAACTGAGACAGAATATTTTTAAAACGTCTGGATAAGTCTCAAATTTTCAGATAATTATCTTGCTTTTACAAATGTTATTCTGTCTGATGATGTTACTGCTCTTACAATTCAGTTGTTGATATGAAGCTACAAAATTACTAGTAAATTAGTAAAGAAGAATAAAGCTCTAAGATTTAATCCAAATGTAAGTAACTGGTTAGTAGAACTACTTTCATACAGTTAAGTATCTTCTACATATTCCATAATGATTATTTTAGATAAGGCACCAAAACTTGATATTCTTAAGCTGTGACTACATAATACAAATCTCTAATTTACTTTTAACAAAATATAAGATTTGTTGGACTATCGAATATTAAGGAATGATATCGAGCATTCCTTTGGAATAATCACAGCATCTTTTGTAAAGAGAAAAATGCCATACTTTTTTGGTACTTGAGATATAACAAAATTGTTTTCTTTAATGGAAAAACTGTTTCACTTCCTACTTGCAAGGGTTCCAAATAACCTCATAATTTTTTTTTTGCCATTTTTCGCCAGGTCAAGTTTGAACCCATCACCTCCAGCTTATGGGGCCAGTGCCCTACACCTTTGAGCCACGGGCACAGCCCCAAATAACCTCATAGTTTAAATGTTCAGTTGTGATTTTCAGTAGACAAGATCCTTTGGGGGATAAGTAAATTAATAAAAAAATAATACTCTCTCTCTATAATTAAGACAACCTGAATAGTATTTTCTTCTCTAGTGATTAACTTGCATACCATATACTCATTTTCTTTGCAATGTTAAGGAGGATAATGAGTTAACTAAGAACCAAAGCAGTAGTTAGGGAGCATAAGGAAAAGCAATGCAAGAGTAACTTGGCCTCTTATAATTCAAATGTCTCATTTTGAACCCCATTCAGTCATTTGAATCCACACATCAATAAAACAAACATAAAGATAAGTACATAATTACTTTTTAAAATCTTTCTTCATTGAGTTCAGTCTCAGGTTAAAGACAAACATTGTATACAAGTAAGCAGGATGCCGCAGAAGGAGTTTACAAATTTGGCCTATACTATACAAGAGTAGGTTTATTAGTGCTGTATGTAGTCTAAGCAAGTAAGATAATTTGTGGATGGGCGTGGTGGCTCACCCTGTAATCCCAGCATTCTGGGAGAATGAGGCGGGTAGACTGCTTGAGTTCATGAGTTTGAGACCCGTCAGAGCAAAGGTGAAATCCTGTCTCTAGAAAGTAGTCAGGCATTATGGCAGGTACCTGTAGTCCCAGCTACTTAGGAGGCTGAAGCAAGAGAATCAGCCCAAGAGTTTGAAGTTGCTGTGAGCTATGACGCCACAGCACTTTACCTGGGACAAGAAAGTGAGACTCTGTCTATTAAAAAAAAAAAGATAACTTCCAAAAACTACCCCTACTACTAGATTAGCCATTATGAGCATACTCTCAAATAAACATTGGTGGTACTAGACACCAGCTTTTATGGCTTGCTCTACTATTATATAACTGAATATTTATTTTCCAATGTGTAATATGTCTTTAAATTTCCAATGTTTAAATGTCTTTAAATTTCTCACAAATTGTAAGTGTAAAAATTAATCTTATCATTTACCAATCTGTTGTTTTCCTTTGTCATTATCTCTATAGATAGCAAATGCAAGAAAACCTTCCTTAGGCCTAGCCAACATTATATAAACACCTATGAAAGAATAATTTCCTTTCTAAACTACTTTAAACTATTCTCAACACACACAAAGCATTAGGACTGTCACAAGGTATGTGGGAGAAGAACTAAGAAGTATGCCAACATATATTGAAAACAAACAAGGACAGGGAATGTTTTATTGATTTTCAACATATTTATGTCTGAGTACGGCTCTATCAAAGATTTACACAGTATTTTCCAGGGAATTTAACTCATTAACTTGAGAAAAACTATTTAATACACTTTAAGAATAATTTTAAAGGTGTGAACAAGATTGTCAATCCCTTTAGTACAGGAACTATATCTTACTCATATTTAATGTATCTCACACAGCTCCTTACAGACTGCCTTGAGCACAGTCACAAATATAATATATATGTGCAGTTACTTAATGAATGGTGATCCTTGTCTGGATTAAGAAAATTCTAATATTAAGAAAATATATAATATCAACTAATATTAAGAGAATATATAATATCAACAGTACTAATTATTAGTTTGAAAGTTCACTAAGCATCAAATGATAACTACCCAATCCAGACACCAAAATTGTTACTAAATATATTTAATCCCTACCAGAGAGCTCAATTTTTAAGTTACTATTTTAGACAATACCCATTCTTTCTACTCCACAGGCTCAATAAAATAGTGTGAAGGACTATCCTAGGAAGGACAAGCATGTTATATAATAAATTCACAAGTATTAAACCAATAGGGGGAAAATGCATGAAGTATAAAATGGCACCACCCCGATTAATACACATAGCAATAGATGTGTATTTCTACAGTGGAATTGAATATATGGTGGAATTTAAGTGACATTAAAGAAGTAGGGCATCTAGCACTCTGGCAGGCCAAGGCAGATGGACTGCTTGAGGTTCAGGAGTTCAAGACTAGCCTAAGCAAGAGACAGACCTCCTTCTCTAAAAATAGCAGAAGAGTTGTGGTGGATGCCTGCAGTCCCAGCTACTCAAGAGGCTTAAGTAAGAGGATCGCTTGAGCCTAAGAGTTTGAGGTTGCTGTGAGTTATGATGCCAAAGCACTCTACCAAGGGCACAGAGTGAGACTCTATTTCCAAAAAAACGTAATCCAGAGTAGAGCCTACTGTCCCAAATAGATCCACAGCTGTTTCTTCTTCCTTGAAATACCCAATTGTTACAGATCTGATTGCACCTTCATCAAATTAAATCACTTATCTAGATTTGCAGAACAGATGTATATTAAGAGCCAGATGGTCTGTGAAACATTAATATGATGTTGCTATTTATTACATGGCCACTGTGTAGCCAACTGGGAGCAAAAGCTGTTAGATTATTTTTAAAGTTACAAAATTTTTAGCTATCAATAAGTCACCTTATAAATGGAGAAAATATAAAGCTATGGAGGTAAGCTAAAAGCAAAATGTATAGTAAACATAACACTCCACTAGAATTTAAGCCCTGGGAGAATAGGAATCTTGTTTAACTCACTGATATATTCAATGTACCTACAACAGCCTGACACATAGAAGATACTTTAGAAATACACTGAACAACTAAATAAATGGACTATGATTCTGGCAAACCAAATTACTTGTCTACTCATAAAGAAATTGTTAAACCATTTATGTTAATTATATCTGTAATTATACACTTAGTTCAGCTTACTGACTACAGTAGTATACAGAAATAATTCTACAGCATCATCTTAAATCAAGCACAATCTCACCTTTCTTAGAAAAATACCAGAATTTGCTTTCCAAATATGATTTTTCTAACTTTATTTAAAATTTTATTTCAAACTTTTTCTTCTCTTTTTAACTTTTTCCATTTTGAGCAAAACTAAAAGGCATCTGAAATTAATCTGGATATTAAAACTGTAAAGGGACTTTTTATGTTTTCTTCTGGGGTAAGCCTTCTTTCTAAGTAAAATATTCGATTTTTCAAGGATATTATATTATCATGCCATAATATTTCCTTCAAAATTGCAAGCATACTATGAGTATTTTTAATTCTATCATTAAAAATTAGAACCTATTTGACTGAGACACATTTCTAAAAATAACATACTCAATACTGAAACAAAGCCATGAGATAATCTAATTCATGCCCACATAGGAGAAAAACTCATTTCAATTCATGTTGGGGGGAGTTGGGCGGGAAGAGGGTTGGGGTGCTCCCACTGAACAGGCATGTAGGGTGTATGGC